ACATCTACAACCACATCTACAACATCTGTATGCTCTCGTAGTCCCAGCAGAGTTGCCGTGACTCACTTCCAATATTTGACAAAATAACGGGTTGTTTGACAAAAGGATGACCGCTGACTCAAGTTTCAGACCTCAAGAAAGCCTGGAACGACTGTCCAGACGGTGACCGCCGACGGTATAGTACGAACTGTTACCGTTACGCCAACGGCTACAGCAAATGAGGGAGCAACGGGCGCCTCGGAACTGAGCCCCTCGAGCCAACCGTCATCAAACGGGCCGACCACGGGCGCTGTCGTGGGAATTGTGGTGGGTGTTATTGGCGCTGTTGTAGCCCTGGCAGGAATAGTGCTTTTCTTGTTCTTCAGACGACGGAGACAACGCGAGAATGAGAACGACAAGTATGACGAGCCCAGCCATCGGGGTAGCTCAGCTGGTATGACCGGATCGCCACGCAATCCCGAAATGGTTGTTACTGTGGATGGAGGACGATGGGACCCCGATGCTACCAGCGAACAACGAAGGAGCCGGCTGCTCGCACACGACCCTCGCCTGGATCCTCTACCGAGGGGCTTATACGTACGAAACAAGAGCGCAGAAAGTATCAACACCCTACGCGACGACCAAGACTATTCGCGCAAGGTTCATCAGCCGGTCCTGCGGGCGACCAACCCTGACCCAGAATGAAGGATCAACGCGGCATCGGGCGGACCAAGATGACGAGAAATTACATCATCGTTGACGACGTACACGAAATCGACCCCGGTACAAATTTCGGTCTTTGCATTGCGCTTTTGAGATACCAGGACGGCGTTTCGATTTTCACTTCACATGAGAGTCCATGAGAGGGCCTTGGATGATGGTCACTCGCGGGCAACACCGGACATGGGAGGGTTTCTTTTGGAGAAGATCGATATTTGCGTCAATACACGGTGGGCGCAAGGCCCCTAGATGACGAACACGAACATATCACTCGAACAACCAGAGAGCGCCAGCCGGCAGCTTCCGTAATTTCATTTCTGAATCCCCCACGTTCTGCTGAGGACCCGGGGGTGGCGATTGCGCACCAAAAGAGCGCACCAGCAGACGTGCGGTTCCATATATCTCAACCCAGTGGTTGGAGAAAGAGAGAGAGAGAGGGCAGGCTCTTCATCTATTTCAGGTCGAGATCCGATCGCGAGCTCACAGTCATGATGTTGAGCAGCAATCTGTACATGCGCCTCACACGAGACACGGACTAGGCAGAAACCAATGGTTGAGATGGAAGGGATTGGTTACAATTTGGCACGATTCGACACAGCTTCTCGTAGCGCACAGCTAATAGTTGACACAAAGTTCGCATGACAAACAATAGGATGACCAAGGAGGGAGGAGGTAGCACCAAGTTGGAGGAGCTGAGTCTGGCGAGCCACTCAAGGTCGCAAGCTGTGTAGCGAACCAACAGGTGTTCTTGTACAGCCAAACAGCACAGTTGTCACGATCGCCATTGGAACACGACGGGATAGTTTTTCTTCTACGTAGTTGCAAGAACATTAATCACACAAGGACGCGTACAAACGTTTCATTCACACTTGAATGCCGCTGGAAACGGGCTCCTAAGGTCAGCCTAGCTAGAATTGTGTTTGTGTATGTGTGTGTGTGTGTGTGTGTGTGTGTGTGTGTGTGTGTGTGTGTGAAGCACACATGTGTTGGCCGATCGCAACCTTTTTTGCTGTAGAACGCTAGGAGAACAACAGGATGGGATGGGAATGGTGTTGAGATGGCTGCGTTGCTGACGTACAAGAAGCTAGGTGCCGTGGTTCATGTCATTTCGCGGCGCTGGTTTAATTTTGCAGAGATTTCGTCGCCCCCATCCACGTCAGATTAGGGGTGGCGAGAGAGAGAGAGAGAGAGAGAGAGAGAGAGGTGGACTTTGCATGTGAAAGTTTAGCGCGAGGGACAGCAATGGTAGCATAAGGCCTTCTTTCCTCGAGCACCCATCGTGAAACGTTCGTGACGACGATGGTCTAGAGAATGACGTTTATAGGTTGACGAAAAGGGGGTGGGGGCATGGTGTTGATCTCTCGCTCTCTCTCCGTATGGATGGGGGTTAGGTAAGCTGATGAGGCTCAACACAGCTGGGGTTCATCCCTTACTGATCGGACACGATGGCGATCACGGTAGCGAGGGGAGGGGAGGGACAGAAGAGAAAGATGCATGTTTCGAAACAAGCTGGACTGGGTAGGGGCTGGGGGGATCGTTAGAGAGGGCCGAATTACATAGTATTGATTTCGAGACTTGGCGTCATTGTGGTGGCATAATTGTGTTTCAGAAAGAGACAAAACGGCTATCCAAAAGGATATGAGAGAGAGAGAGAGAGAGAGAGAGAGACTCTGTTTCCCATACAGCGGAGTAGGAGGCACTCCGGCCTCGGTTAATCGTCGTTGAGCCTGGGTCACGAAATACATGCGGAATTGCGTTTAGGATACGAGACTGTCTGGTTTGGTTCGTGTGCGGGGTGCATGGCCGCTCGCTGACCTTTCCGTAAAAGGGCAGTGATTACCGGCGATGCCTTGACAAACACGTGGCTGGGGGGGGAGGGGGAAGTGGGAATAGCTTCATCTTAGCTTCTTCGCACAAGGGTACCTAGTGCCTGGATAGATGGGTAGGTACCGGTAGTTAGGGCGACATGGTGTACGTACATACATGCACGCGCCCAGGAAGTGGGATGGCGGGTCACGTTCTGGGGGGCTCGGCGGATGCACGGCCTTGGCATAAGGGAAAGAAGAAGAGAAAAAGAAAAGAAAAAAAGAACCACCAGCATGTGACGTAGTTTCCCAGTCCGTCCGCGGATGTGTGTGTGTGTGTGTGTGTTCGTCTCCTCGAAGTGGCCATGCGTTTCATCAGCGTGGATGCTTGGCCTATGCGGCACTGCACAAGAAGAAGAAGAAGAAGAAGAAGAAGAAGAAGAAGAAGAAGAAGAAAGAAAAGAAGAAATTCAAAATTCAACCGAGAACCTAAAACCGAAAAAGATTTGACAGTAGTAAAATTCCTCGGACGAATGACGGTTATGGGCAGCCAAGGTTTAAAGGAGTCGAGGAGGTCGAGTCCCTGCATTGGGGGGACATCGCGCACATGGTGCATCACGTCTTCGGAGAATTTTGTTTGAGGCCGGCTTGCCCTTCCCCTTCCCTCCTCTGCTCTGCTACCCCCCTTGGTTTCCAAATGCCTACACACACTCAGGCGGGAGGATGAGAGAGAGGGAGGGAACCAGTCGCGTGGATCCCACTCATCCTTGGCCCTACTGGGCTTGGGCATGTTCGTAGAGAAATAGATAGGTAGGCAGGGTAGGTATCAGGAAGATGGGAATGAGATGTCCCCCGTAAGAGGTGTGCGTACGCGTTCACTCTTCGGGGATGACGCCTCACGATGCGCAGGTTATGTAGGGAGGTGGTCAGTCAGGCGCGACCTCCCGTCCGAGCCGGCGGGAGATGAGAGTGACAAATCGTCCGGGGAGCACACACTACCTAACCTCACATACGTGGTAAGTTAAGGTAGCAGTGTTGATGAGATGAAGCACTAGGTAGGTAACAACGTAATGTTGAAGCGCTTCACATGGACGACGCCTGCGCCGAGACCAGACCAAGGAAGACACGAGGGTAGAAGGGAACCCCCCTGAAGGAAGCCTGAAAGGACGCTGCGCTGCTGCGTTGCTGCGTTGTTCGCCTGCGGCTGGAGAAGGGGGGGGGGCTTCGCTCTCGTTGCCGTCTTGTCTCGCTGCTGCTGCTGCTGACTTGGACTTGGACGCTGACAGGGTGGCCCTTGTAATCTTAGCCGGGCGTCTGCTTTAGCGAACCCTTGGCACACAGCCCACTCGTCAAACGGTGGAAGGGGCGTTCACTCTCTCCTGAAAAGGGTGCGAGACGAGATGGACGAACCGAACCCCGGATGCTGGTGGTCTGGCTCCTCCTTCCTTGCTACCCTGCCTCTCTGCTGTTGTTTGTCGCGGGTGGCTGACTGACGGACTGCGTGTATAGGTAGTATTGAAGCGTATCCGTAGTGTATCCGTAGTGTAGTGTAGCGTACCGGTAGTGTAGGTAGTGCATCCATATGCCTGTGTCTTTTCTCCCCGCCGTTTTCGCATCCATTCATTCCATCGTCGCTTCATCTCTCCTTTCCATACATACCCACGACAACCAAGTAGCCTGTCTGTCACTTATCACCCACCTACCTCCCCCCCTTCCACTCTCCTTCTCTAGTGCGTATTTGGTTCTTTCTTTCTTTCCTTCCTTTCTTCCTTCCTTCATTCCTCCCTTATTTCTTCCTTCTCGCGCGGGACACGCCCACGACCGCAATCCACTACACCCCAATTTTGTCCCAAGACCCTTCCCCCTCCAAGATCAGAGCGACGTCGATACCCGAAAGCGGCAACGGCCACGAGCCCGGAATACGACCGCAACCGCTACCTGACTGTAGCTGCGCGACGCGCGTTTGATTTCCCCGTGGGATCGTGTAAGAGAAGGATCGGCCTGGGCAATATTGTTGGCGGACTGGATAGGGACCATTGATTGGAGGCACACTCGATTATTACGATCCCCCCCCCCAAATACAACCCTAGTTGCCACGAAACCAAAAAAAAACGAGCGAGCATCGCTGCTTCGCCGCCGCATCCCATTGAGAAAACGAGCAGGACAAGAGCACGCCTCGATAGACGATAGAGCCCCGACCTCTGCTACGCCTGCCCATTAACACTCTGAGCACGCGACCCCTGCCGACGCATTCGAACGCCACGAGGCAACCCAACGTCTGCCAAGATCGACAACCGCTCGTTCCTGCGTCTAACAAATCTTGGCGATCGTCATATCCGCTCAACCCACCCCTCGCCTTCCACACCGAGCGACGCCGGTCCCTTATCACCATCTCGTCTTGCTTCTTCCGCTCCTCGCCCGGCTCCGAGTCGTCTGTTCCGTCTACAATCACCAACCAAAAGACCACCCTTCTCGTTAGGGCCGTGGCCCGTCATCATGAACCTGACATGTAATTCAACGCTCGAGGAGCTGAGGAGTACGTCACCCTGCCGGCCTTTTCTTGAAGCATTTGCCAGCCGGCCTGGAAAACTCACACCAGTCCAAAGCTAACGTGCTCGTCCATCAGTCCTTCCTGGCTCCGAGATCCTCATCGCCGGCCCTCTGACGTTCCACGACCTTGCCCTCGTCGTCGCCGGCTCCTGTACCATCATCGCCATCTCCCTGTCCTTCTACCTCATCTTCATGCACTCCATCAATTATACCAAGCCCCGCGAGCAGCGCCAGGTCATCCGCATCCTCCTCATGATCCCCGTCTATGCCGCCTCTTCATTCCTCCAGCTTTATTACTACTGGCATGCCGTCTACTTCCAGCTCATGAGCGATTGCTATGAGGCCTTCGCCATCGCCTCCTTCTTCTCCCTCATGTGCCACTACCTCGCCCCGGACGTACACACCCAAAAGGACTACTTCCGTAACTTGTATCCCATCAAACCCTGGGTCTGGCCCCTCGACTGGTTCGCCAAGTGCTGCGGAGGGCAGAGGGGCCCGTGGCGTACCCCTAAGAGTGGCCTGACATGGTTCAATGTCATCTGGATTGGCGTCTACCAATACGTCTTTATCCGCGTCGCCATGACAGTTACGGCCGTTGTGACCCAGTACTTCCACCGCTACTGCGAGAGCTCCAACAACCCCGTCTTTGGTCACATTTGGGTAAGTGCGCTCATCCTAATAGCTTCAAGATCCGTCCTGGCTAACATCCGCAGGTTATCTCCATAAACTGTCTGGCTGTTACCATTGCCATGTACTGTGTCATTCAGTTCTACATACAGATGCGCGAGGCCCTTAAGGAGCACGCGCCCTTCCTAAAGGTTCTTGCCATCAAGCTCGTCGTCTTCTTCTCCTTTTGGCAGGTCACATGCATCTCCGTGGCTACATCTACTCTCGACCTCGTCCATGCGAACCGCGTTCTCGCATATCCTGATATCAAAGTCGGCATTCCCGCCCTTCTTCTCTGTTTCGAGATGGCCCTGTTCGCCCTTCTCCACCTCTGGGCCTTCCCATACGCTCCCTACGTGCCCGGCGCCAAAACCACATTTTACCCGTCCCCCGACGCCCGCGACATCAACGCGCATCTGCGCGAAAATGTCCACTCCGCCCCCAGCGGCGGCTGGATGGGTCTCCGCGCTATTGGAGATGCTCTCAACCTCTGGGACTTTGTAAAGGCATTCGGCCGTGGTATGCGCTGGCTCCTCTGTGGTGTCAAGCGTCGCAAGGAGGATCCCAGCTACAAGTCCGCTGCCGGCGTGGACATGGACGACCTCGACAAGGGTGGCGACAATGCCTATCATCCTGCTGGTCTCAAGAGCACAGAAAACCTCCCCATTGCCCACGAATTCCGCCGCAGCACATTCCTGCAGCCCTCGCGGCCGCCTCCTCGGCCTGCGCGCCCGCATCACGAAAGCGACAGCCTCATTGCCCATGCGCAGCCGAACCCCTCACAGATGTCTCCGCCGCGCCGCCCACAGCGCCCACACTCTCCAATGTCGCCCATGGTGCCGATCCCGCCGTACCAGGACCAAGGTTTCCACGCGACGGGCATGGCTCCTGTGCACCACACCCGCCAGGGCCCGAACGCTAACTGGGAGAGACCATCACCCCCATCGACGAGCCCGATAGCGGGGCCGCGCGACTTGACGCAGCAACGGGTCGGAGAGGCGCTTTGGGGACCACAAAGCCCCGCCAATCCTGCCATACTGCCCGAAAGCCCTGTTCTTGGGTCGGCATTGAGCGATTCTCATGGGCACGGCCAACCAGCACACGGGAACCAACCATACGAGGAACCGAGACCCGGGACGGCCTTTTAATTGATGTAATGCATATATCAGCGCAGGTGGCCAAAATCTGGTCAACGATACTGATTATCCGTCAGAGAGATGATCCTCACATTATGGGAGCTACACGACATTCGGCCGTTGGGTATTTATTTTTGGCATGCATGGGAAATGGCGTTTTGATTCCTTACGAGATACCACAACGTTTTTCATTCTAATTGATTGGAAATGAAACAAATCGATTTTAATGAAATAGATTGTCAAATTCAGTGTGAATCCTTCCATCCATGCGCTGCCGTGGGCCCATGAGCTTCTGCCGGCATAGGGCCTATGCTAGATAGTTTTACATTTCGAGTGCCACGGCGTCTGGACTGGCGTCGACGCCGTTACCATCGTCTTCGTCTTCGTCATCACAGACGCGGCACGAGGTAAGGCTTCACACATTTCAAAGCATTCAACACGTGTCGGGGTTGACATCACACCCATTTTTTGACCGAGCCCGAACTATCGGCTTCTCTCGAACTGAACCGCCCCCCTTCTCCTCCCACAACTATCGGCATGTCTGCCATTTTCCCGTTTTCCCCCTGTCCTCTGCTCCCGTCCGCCTTCGGAACCGACAGATGCCACCACTCGTTCTCTACTCTGCCGTCTTGTACAGTTATAAATGCGTTGCCGCTGTCATTTCCATTGTAACTAGCCTTTCCGCTACCCTTGCTCCCCTACCCTTTTCGTCCATTGGTATCAGTCCTCCCGAGGTTTTACTGGACGCTGACCACGCCCAGTTCCATCTTGCGCGCAGTGGGTATTTCTTCTTCTTCTTTTTTTGATTCATGGGTTTTTTTTTTTTTTTTTTTTTTTTTTTACAAATCGCCTTATCTCGGCGAACGGGGGCTTCTTTCCTTCGTTCACTTGGAAAGTCCCCTTTTGGCTTGGTCGTTGTACAAAGTGCGGCGGTAAAACAAAACCGTTTTTGGGTATCATATAATAATAATCGCTTCGTTTTTCTCTTTTTGCCAAGGGATGAATCATTACGAAAGGCAGCCCGGTTTGCCATGCAATGCCCCATGAGGAGTCGAAGCAAACCGGAGGTCGAGTCATCATCTTGTTCCTTTTTCTCGCTCAAATTCCAATGGCTCTTCTTTTGGCAATCCTGATGGTTCTGAACAATGTTGTGGTTTTTGTTTTGGACACTGAGTGGATTGGTTTTGTGTGTGTATCTGAATGTGAATCCGGTCTTTGCCTCTTCGTGACCATTGCCGGTCGTGCAAATCCCCCCCCAAAAAAAGTAGTACTCGTAGATAATAGAAGCACGTGTAAAATAAAACAAAAAAGCGATAATGAATGTTTCTTTCGTTGAGGAGTGCGGTCTCTTTCTCGTCCATTCTATGCGCTAGTCGTCGTGTTGACCAATGGCATCTTCCTCTTTTCCGCGCAGCAACATTACTTTTTCTCTTGTCGAAATCCCCTCCCTCATGTCGAGTTTCAGTGCGCTACTGCTCGTGTTCTTGAGCCTGGGACTTCTAACGTCTCTGCCTCTTCTCGCGATCGTTCGAGAGACCGACAGCATCTTCGCTCCTCCGCTTTCGCCCTCGGTCTTCGCGCGGCTCGCGTCGATCGTCGGTCGGCCTCGATCCCCCTTCGCGCGGTCCTGTCCTAGATGCGCCGCGCGCACTTCCACCCCATTCTTCGCTTCTTCCGCCCGAACCACCTTCTCCACGGTCGCTGCGATGACGCGGCTCGCGGCTACCACCCATGCTCTCTCGGCTGACGCCATGAGGAGCGTTAACATGTGGATCCCTGGTGCTGCTAGACAGCTCTCGGCCAGATCGCCGCGGCTCGCGGTCATCGCGGGTACTGGACTGGCCTTGTGCTCCAGACCTTCTGTCCCTGTGTTCACGCGGTTCCTTGGCGTCTCTCTCGCGATCAGGGCTGCGCTCCCGCTCGCGACTGCCCCGCCTCGAGTGTCGGCCACGTTCCGACCGGTGTTCACGTCGGCTTCGGTCGTGCTCGCTCCGTGGTTGTTCATCACCGTTGGTTTGTACTCTATCTTGACGGATGGGATCCGGACGCTCCTGTGTCGGTGTAGATACCGGCGATGCGCCTGTCAGAACTTGAGCATCGGAGCCAGCGATACTACCCCTGGCTACTCCACGCCCGCGCATGCTGGTGGCCCGGTTACTATCCGGCATGTTGGCTTGTGCTTGTTGCAACGTGCTGTTAATACCCGCAAGCTGCCTACGACTACCGCCACTACGGCCTCTGTCGTTGGACGATGGCCCAGAAGGCGCGCCATCTGTCGGACCCGGGTAGTTTCCTGTTGGTGTTCGGCTGTTGCTGCCTTGGCCTCCAGATGAGCGGTCAGGTGTGTTGATGGGTGGTAGAGATGGTCGGGAGTGGCTGGGAGGCTGGCCTGAAGGCGGAGGCGGCGGCGGCGGCGGTGCGATTTGTGCTAGTCGGTCAGGATGAATTCCGGGAGCCAATGTAGGACCACCAGACGATGGCGTGGGCGAGCCTGTCGGGCCCGAATTCATGGTACGAGTTCGATCAGGATGAGTGGCCTGCACCGGGGTCATCGCAGACGGCGAGTTGACGGATGCATTGGACTCGTACTGGTTCCGACGTCCCCTACCAGATGCTGGCCCCGTAGGCGGGTATCTCTCTTCGGGCGTTGGGCTGTCGGTGTTCTGAGGGAAGCGTGCGTCAGACCTCGAGGTGGGCGTTCCCATGGGACCGCCTCGGGCTGCTCCTCGACCACGACCACGAGGTCCAAGAGGAACATCGTTCGTGACGACTGACTGAATAGGGTTCAGTCGTCCATAATTCTGATCCTGATGGGTGTTCCTGCTGTGGTCGGGATCTGAGGTTCGACCCGAACCAAGGAAGGCTTCTCTGCCTCTGTCTGTGCCAAATCGATCCCCTTCCCTATCTGTTGTGCGGTCTGGTCTTGGATTAGAACCAAGAGGTTCGCCGTGTGCATCTCTTCCAGAGGAACGATGGTCCGGATGGTGGGAACGGCCATGCCTGTCGTCTCTGCCAGCGTCACCTGGTACGTCTGGGTTGAATCGCCCGCTTCTTCTTGGGGAATGCGTTCGAGGCGCGCCTCGGTCCCTGGGATCATCTCGCGCCGGACGTGCTGGGGGATCTGGCCGCGAGTCTCCCATCAATGCAGCGCGCTCCGGATTGAGGATGTCGGCGCGATCTTGATCGGAACCACGTGGCTCTTGACCACGCGGCACTCTACCACTACGTCGATCTGTTTCTGAGGATCGAGGTGGTCGCTCCGAGCGGCTAGGTCGGTCTGGCTGATCTCCTTGAATAAGGGCCAGTCTGGCAGGGTTTACTGGCGGGTCCTCGGGGGGATTTTGAGTGGACGGTGGCGGCGGCGTGGAGGTAACAGGTTCTCGCGAAAGCCTGCCAGACTCAGCATTGCGTCCGTTGGTCGGTGCTGGTCTGTCGCGAGAGGGGTGGTTGTCACGCTCGTGGGCTCCTTGGTCGCGGCGGAGAGGCAGCGTGTCCCGCCTGGGAGGCCAATCTTTCTCTGAAAGGCGGCTGGGTTCTCTGGATTGAGCATCTGGACCGCGTTTATCTTGATTGGCGAAATCACGACCGCGTTCGGGTCGAGAAGGTTCGGGGAATCTAGGATCCCTCAATGTGTCTCGCGGGTCCCGATGATCTCTAGGATCCCGAGATTCCCTTGTGTCTCTCGGACCGCGGGGCTCTCGTGGTTCTCTCTGATCTCGGCGGTCCGGCAACGCGTCTGGGGTGAAGTGGGTCCGTGCGTAGTGTCCTGGAATGGGGACATCTGGTCGCTTTGGAAGACTGTGTGCGCTTCTATCGGGACCCGTGGGCGTAGTAGTCGACTTGGTCGCATCCTGGTGGTTCGCATTACCCTGTGCCGGAGTGGCAGCCGCTGGCTTGGGTGTCGACGGCTTGCTTGAGGCAGCAGAACCGAAGTCAACGCGTCCAGATACGGGCTTGGCAGACTCCACGGGGGAGGCTGATGGCCTTGGAGGCAGGTTGGGGTCTTTTTGCGTAAGTGTGCCTGGCGCAGACGAGGCCGCAGGCTGAAACTCGGCATCTTTGCCATCTTTGACTTCTCCGTCTTCCTGCTCTGCAGCGATTCTGTAGACAAATGATTAGTTGAGAATCGTGTCAGCGCACTGAGGACAACATACTTGGCCGATCCTGGCTTGAAATCAGCCGCTGTTGGGCGTAGGTTGGTTGCACCGCTAGACTCGCCATCCTTGGCTTTCCCTTGAGCTTGACCGTTCTCCGAAGATGTTAGCATATGCCGGAATAGATGATTATTTGCTTCGCTCACCATGTTCGGTCGGAAGCCGGCTGGCAATACCCATTTCGCCTTTCTCCTTTGCAGCTCGGATAGAGCACCTTGAGCAGCGACAGAAAGATCTACTCGATGACCTTCCTCTCCAGCGGATGCATTCTTCGATGCCGCCTCACGCTCGGTGATTGTCTTGAGCTGCTCAATGAACTGGTTGCCCATGAAAGTTACGGCAGGGAAGAAGTCGAGAACAGCCTTGAGCACCGTCATCGCGTTGCGAATATGCATCCACTCCATGCCACCCAAGCAAGATTTCAACGCCAGGTTGAGCTTGTTATGCCATCCATACAGAATGTCCCGGAATTGCGCGTGATCATAATAAGATGTCGGCTTGCTCTTGTCATCAAATTCGGAGGCGAAACCGAGGAGAAAGCTCCGCTTGCCCACAGCTTCCCTCTCGTAAACGTTCGTGTCGCGATGCCATTTGGCAAGATCTTTCAGTATACAGTTGAGAAACCTGCCAAGATGCTCGGCTTCGCGGACGGTGCAGGTGAAAATCATCGCCCTCAGCCTGTTGACGTTGAAGAGTCTATCATACAACGCTTTCAACCGGAAGTTCGGTGCACCAAACGTGTGAAGCTTCTTGAGAAGTACATAGCAGTACTCTGCATCGCTAGCCGAAAGTACAAGTCGCGGAAGCAAGCATTGCTCGAGAATTGCGTCCGAGATGCCGTTTAACTTGGTTGCTGAGCCTGGAAACCATGTTGCCATATGCTCCGACATGTAATCTCGGACGACTCGCGCTCGCTTCATCTGAGAGTCGGCCTCTTTGGGTAGCTCATTGCTGATCTTGAGAAGCTCAGCCTTCTTTGCCTCTTTCTTGTTGATGCCACTGCGGCTCATGTCTGAGCGGTCTCTGTTGAGGTCTCTTTGCATGTTCGAAAGCCTCTTATGAGCACTGTTGTAACTTGCGGCAGGCACTTCAATGTCACCCAATTGCAGTGCCCAGAACAGAACGTAAAACTCGGGACTGAGCTTGGTCCATGATGATGCGGGTGTGATGGAGCGAATTGATTCAACAATGGGTTCGAGGGCCTCATGGATCTGGCGCAAAGAGTCCTGTTTCGCCTTTTCTCGAACCTCGGCTGGCGTCATTGTTTTGCCCTCCGGCTCGGTCGGCTCTTCGGTCGTGTCTTTTGCCTCGATGGCGTTCTGGGCCATAGAAACGTCTCCATCTGCGTCGGTACTGCTTGGCAACGATTCGAGCTTCTTGGTGAACATGTTGTGAGAGACACCTTCTCGGCCAATGAGGAATGCTAAACTGGCGTCCAGGCCAAACTCGTCCATGAGACGGGTAATGGCAGGCACCAGAGTGTCAAATTCGTGGGGCTGCAAATTGGTCCGCAGAAGATCGAGGTATTGGACCAAAATCTGGTGGCTGTCGTCGATGACAGATCCAATATACTTGATGTGTGCTTCATCGTCTGGAAGTTTATAGATGGCAGACTGTCGGTACTGTGCAACATTGATGAGCAAGCGCCCGGCGAGATTCGAGTCAACGAGCGACTGCATCAAGCGCTTGGCACTGCGAGTCGACTCAAACCGCTTGTCTTGAAGACTGAGAAGCGTCTGGCGCCGCAGAACCTCTCCTCCTGACATGGCCAGGATTTGGTCGTCGGTAAAATCAAGCACCTGGACCACACCACCCATGGATGCCACGAGCTCCTTGAGAATGATGAGATCAGTTGAGTTGCCCTGGAAGAGCTGGTCGTTGACGTATTTAAGAATCGGAGTCGGACCCAGAATAGAATACCGCTTGAAGACTTTTCCGGCAAACTTGGAAAGCGCCTGAAGCCACTTGCTTGTCAGCAGGATAGAGGACTCTTGTGTGCGACTTCGCTTGCCGCCCAGTGAACTCATCAAGGACCAAATCAGGACGTCGTATGCCAAGTCGGTGAAGTACTTGGCACATTCGACGAACGCTTCAATGAGATTGGCGTATGACTCGATTTGGCCCAGTGCTTCCTTGAAGACGATGCCAGGTGAGGAGTAACTGGTCTTAGCCAAGGATTTGGCCATCTCGCTGAGGTTGGTGAGAGAAATGCGCTTCATCACTCCTCTGGTTTCGACACGAGTCCGGGTAAATGCGGCCTTCATTGCTGGCAATCTGGAGATTTGGCCCTCAAACCACTCGGCGTAAATTGAATATCGGGTCGCGACGGGATAGAGCTTGAGTAAATCCCATACAGAATTGACAACGGCCGCATTGGCCGTGGTCATACTGAGTGCGGGGACCAGGATGCGCCGCAAGAGCTCCTGCCATCGGTCGATGTTTCCTTGAGAGCGGTCCTCCGCCATACTCTTGGCCCCGATGCTGACAAGCTTAGCGAGCAATGCAGGGTCCTTGCCAATATTGACACCAGAGAGATTCAGGAAAGTATCGCATAGTGTGAAGATGTCATCGACCGTCTGACAAACTGGAACGTTATCAGCCCATTCGTCCCAATAGAATCTGTAGTGCTGGTCTTTGCCGTCGAAACCGTCCGGGAACGGCCATCTCATCGACTTCTTGACCGGTGTGGTGCTGAGTTTGATGGTGCCTTTAGCAACGCCGGTTTGGTCGACATCGGCAATGGGCTTCGAAGGGCATTCGGCCGAGCCGACCGCGGTGGGTTTGCTTTCTTTGTAGACCTTCTCGATACTGTGATTTAGGATGCGGTGGATTCGATCTAAGATTTCTGGGTAGGCTTCCGGAAGCCAGGGGAAACGTCCAAGGATAAAGAGCGACTCGGGGATGGCGCCGATGGTTAACAGACACGTAAGTAATGCTGCCTTTTGCTCCATAGGTTCCGGTAGCTTGTCCTTCTCGTCCGTGCCCGTATCGGTTTTAGAGTCAGCATCAATCTTTCCAGCTGCGTCTCGGGTGCGCGTCGTAGGGGGCGGTGCCGTGTCGTCAGGCAATGCGCCAGCCATGAGAAGAGCGTTTTGTGCAGCGCCAGGTCGACTTTGTCTTTCCTTTTCCTCCAACTCTTTCATCTTCTTTTCCCTCAAAGAGTCCATCTCTTCGTCGAGGGGCCACAGATGGGGATAGATATCCACTAGGGACAGGAATCCGACCTTGACAAGGAGGGCGACAAGGTAGAGAAGATTTGCCGGCAAGACATCTTCCGGGTCTCTGGCATCAGAGGCGTAGAATCGCAACTTGAAGCCAAGAAGCTGGGCGGCCGTTCGATTTCCCTGAGGAGGAAGTGTCTTCGTGACTTTCATCCATGCGGAGGCGGCATTGACTTCGGCCTCAGATGCAGACTCGGATGCCTCCAACAGCCTTAGGTGCTCGTCTGTGACTTGCCTTCCTCCGAGCTGGAAGAAGGCGTCAATGTGAAGTTCGCGTGCACGATCCCAAAAATCAGCGTCACGCTGACGTCTAAGCTCAGCATTCGCCAACTCGGCTTCATCGCTCGTCATCCAGTGGGAATGATCGGGTAGGGCCCAAGGAGGTAGGCCGCCAGTATAACTGATTGTGGCAGGGTTTTGGTTGCGAGGCCACCAAGAACTGACGCGAAGAAGCTTAATAAAGAACCGGAACTGCTTGATAAGCACGGCAGCAAAGACGTCTAGCGTGACATCAAGTACTCTGCCGACGTCGAGGTCGAAGGTACCAATCAATCCCTTGAGGCGTTCAAAGGCTGCATGAGCCGTTTCTGCCGTAGGTGGCTCTGCGCTGCTTGTGGTGAAGAGCTCGGTCATCAGCTTAGAGTAGCCTTCGCTTTCTTCGCGCAGCAGGTTGTAGTTGGCTTGCCGGTACAAAAGGTTGGTCGCGTGCCTGATTCCAAGCTTGACAAAGGTTTCTCTGATGAGACCGAGGTCTTGAAGCAGCTGAGCATCGAGGGTTTGGCGAACAAGTTCGGGCGAAACGCCAGTCATGTGAATGAAATCGCGAAGGTGGGGCTTGAATAGATTCCGGTCGTTGTCGAAGATGATGGACAAGGTGTCGAGAAAGAGGGTGTGCGGCTCGAACGAGAAAGAGTCCTTAATCATTTCTTGCGATTCGATGCCGAGTATCTCCTTCATACAAGCGCCAGCATCGACCGGCGAGAGCCGGCCCTCGACAACAGCATGAATGAACTCTTGGTAGATAGTGGTCAGTTCCTCAGTGTCCACATCCAACCTCGAACTGATTCCGTGGTCGATCAAAGCTTGTCTGCCACCGCTTGACCATGAAGCAATCGCATCATCGGTGATGTGTTCGTAGCAGTAGCTTGTGGGCACCGGAGACGGCGGATGGGAGATCGGGGCAGACACTTGCTCCATCGGGGTCGGAGCGGGATGTTGCGGCTGCGACGGTGTAGGGGGCGGGCGAGGGACGGTCGGAGATGTGACTCGGGAGGCGCTCGCAGACTGGCTTCCGGACTGTGCTTGTGCCAGTTGTCCTTGAGCGGAGTCTCGTCGATCGTTCCTTCTGTTATTCCTACCGCCGCGGCCACCTCTTCCACCGCCCTCGGAAAAATCTCGATCGCGTTGACTCAAGGTCATGTCTCCAGGTCGATGGGGGGAGGGTCTGTTGCCTTCGCCAATAAGACCACCACGAGCCTTGCGCTTAGGAGGCATCGTGCTCTCTCGGTCGCGGTATTGTTCAAGGTATCATTGGAGACGCGCGATCTATCCCCAGATGCCTTTCTGTAAGTAACCTGAGTCAGTAGAGTTCGAATATTTTGCGCGCGCGGAAGGCCGGAGGGAGAGATACCGAGTGCTTGAAAGATTTGGGAAGCTCGTCGCGTGCAGCTCGATGAGTGCCGTGCAAAAAGAAGATTGAAATAGCTAGTACAAACGGTTGGACCAATGAGATTATTTGCCCAAGAGGAAAAGAACTGCAACGATCACAGACAAAGATCGCGCTCTGACGTTGGTGTTTTTTTTGGGGGGGGGGAGGGGGGTTGTGGCTGGAAGGTGATGATGGACGATTTCTCGCGTGAAGAGGCCGTTGCATCAATCCAGAGCTTCAGATCCACCGCAAACGAGTAGCAGCCTCACGGAAGGCAAGGCTGTACCTACCGTACGTGTACGGGCGGATAGGTACGTACCGGCTGACGGCCTGTATCGGCTACTTGCAATTACGCAGGGGTGATTGTAACCCAGTATTTGCCATCTTTCCACTCCCAATCAACCGGTTGCCCGCTGACTCATCAGCCCCGCGCAGCCAATGAAACGTTGTCAAAAACGACGCTGCGCAGAGGTACCGATACTGCTACTAGGTAATGTAAGGTATCCGTACTTCGGTACATTATTCCGCCAGTTTCGGCGTAAATCTTTGGCTTTTCTGGTTGAACGTTGACCTGTCACAGTCACACCGAGCAAGTTCAATCCCTGGATTTTTTATATATTTCGCATACCTCGCCGTTGCTGAAGAGTCCAAGTTTGCCATCCACCTATCTGAACTGCGGCTTCTTCAGCATCATCAAGCTTACAAGCGTTACCTCCTGATTCTGGAGGCTTACACTGCCCCTCGTTCATTCCGAGATCGGGATGACTGCGCAAAATCTACAGAATGGCGCTCAGCCGAAGTATGGTCAGTATGATCCTTTACCTCATCCTACCTCAACCTTCAATTGCACATCCCCTATTTGATCTCGGACTGGGTGGCCCAATGTTCTTTTCATGCGTTCCCCCTTTGCTCCATATTTGGTCGCACACCGCATAACCCTATGTTGAAGTGACAAGGCCAGTTGCTGAATACCTGTAAGAAAGAACCCAAACGCAGCCTGAGAACCCGTTTGCTACCCTGATTCCGGAGCAACAGTTCGCCATCATCCCCGAGTTCTCTCTCGAATCGGGCGTCACGCTTCGCAATGTCCCTGTGGCCTATACCACGAGGGGCAAGCTCTCGCCCAACGGCGACAATGCCATGGTCATCTGTCATGCCTTGACCGGCAGCGCTGATGTCAGTGACTGGTGGGGACCTCTTCTTGGAGGTCCCGGTAGAGCCTTCGACACATCGCGGTTCTTCATCGTCTGTATGAACGCCCTCGGAAGTCCTTACGGCACTGCGAGTCCGGTTACTGCTAAGGATGGGGACCCATCAAAGGGCAATTACGGCCCCGAGTTTCCTTTGACTACCATCCGCGATGACGTCAAGTGAGATGAGCTCTATCTGTACTTGAGGCAAGATGACTGACCCATTCCAGCCTTCACAAGCTCCTCTTGGACGATCTTGGCGTCAAGCAGGTTGCCGCAGTCATTGGTGGATCGTTGGGCGGCATGTTTGTTTTGGAGTGGGCGTACCTTGGCAAGGAGTACATCCGTTGCATCGTGCCCATTGCGACATCAAGCAGACACAGCGCTTGGGGTATCAGCTGGGGTGAAGCCCAACGGCAAAGCATCTACGCAGATCCGAAGTACGACGACGGCTATTATCCCTTCGACGACCCCCCATCGACCGGCCTCGGCGCCGCTCGTATGTCTGCTCTTTTGACCTACCGCAGCCGCAACTCTTTCGAGTCACGTTTCGGGCGCAACATTCCCGACCCTTCCAGACGGCAAACAATCCGCGAGAGGTCAAGACCCAGCACACCGTCCGAGGCGCACTTCCATATCCATAACGACGGCCACAACGTCAAGCGGGCCGGCCTCCCGCGTCAGAATAGCCAGGGCGGAACAGGAGAAACGTCAGTCAACAGCACCCTGGCCCAGGCAGCCACCGAGGCACTGGACCCCCAGTTTCATGGCCCCCAGACGGAGAGTCTGGCTGGAGGCGACAATATCCCTACCTCGACCTACTTCTCCGCGCAATCCTACCTGCGTTATCAGGGACAGAAGTTTGTCAAGCGTTTCGACAGCAACTGCTACATCGCCATGACGAGGAAGCTGGATACGCATGATGTTTCCCGTGGCCGTGCGTCGACCATTGCCGAGGCCTTGGCATTGATCGAACAGCCTACCCTGGTCCTGGGTATCGAGAGCGACGGCCTGTTCACGTTTGCGGAACAAGAGGAGATTGCGGAGCATGTCAAGAACGCTAAACTCGAGCGAATCGACAGCCCCGAGGGTCACGATGCGTTCCTGCTTCAGTTCGAACAGGTGAACCGCTACGTGCTGGGCTTTTTGAAGCAGACACTGCCAGATATCATGGAAAAGAAGGGCGAGGAGGTGGAGGAGACCGGCGTTGGTCAACTGACCAAGAGTAGCACTTTTGGAGAAGCCGAGGTGGAAGATATCACTGCGTGGTAAATGACCGCGTCCTAGAGGCGAGGCTGGAGTAGGAAAGTGCTGGTGCTGTACATATCGACGGATCGAGTTTTGGTTGGCTGGCCGTCTATTTCAACATGAATAGAGTTTTTCAACAACTCGGCGATACAGGGAAATGGGTGGCGAGGGGCTAGAAACAAACCACATCATTGAGCAATGGCGTAAAGTTCGGCTGGAGCAAGATCTATCCGGAATGAGGCCCATGCTAGTAATTGCCACACTAACATCCGTTGACCAGCTCCTTGCTTTGCGTGGATGGCCGCAGCCCATGGCACCCGCAGGCGGATTTGGCGATTCATGACTCTTGAATCTACTATGTACTTATCCGTCCGTGGCCAGGTGTCGCCTGCTGCAGTACTGGTGCCAAGATCATTGAGTCAATTGAAGGCGATAAGTAGATGCCGATGAGCACCATACGACACGCGAAACAGATACCATTTCTCGGCCCGGATGAAAGACGTATTGCAGCGTCAACTGCGCCGTTGTTAAAGTCCTGCCCAACCTCCAGTCCGACAACCTGGTCTTCCCGCCTGCTCATCGACAGCGCATAAATAGTAGGAAGCATACGGCTTATATAGCCGTCTAGGTGGCGAGGCTCGCGGGAGGGAGGGAGAATGCACGGGATATTTGGTCTTTCAACTCTCCCGCCACCTGAAAGAGTCTCCTAAGAAGGGGAAGGCGACTGCGAACTCTACACGGAACGCAAATCGAACAACGAAAACGAGGAGGCCGACAGCAAAAATAGCATTGGTGCTGAACGAAACTTTTATTCAGAGGCAGACACCATAAGCATACCTACCTTTTGTCGTTTCTGGTGTGCGGATAGATGAAGATGTACGAACAAAGGCTATTATCTTGGTTTGGCCAATCCTTAGCCTCTGGTCAAATCCATAACTTGATTCTATCTCAAGAGACTGGTGACTGGAACGGTGTTGACAGGCGAACACACCTAGACGAACCATTGCGGACGTTCAAGTTCCGCAACACAGAGGCTATCATGACTTCCAGAGAAACAACACGTGACCCTGTCTGTTTTCGACTACCGGTAGTAGTTCTGGTTTTGCCTCCTAGGTAGGTACTTCAGTAGTCGCCGTCGGCAAGGTTTTCATTCCCAAGGTCCTTCTGGCGTGGGCCCAGACGCTATGTTGTACACGGTAGATTATCCCCTCAACCGCGATAAGGCCCTATCTCCATAGTGGGCACCAATCATAACCCCACAAAGGTCAAAAATTGTACAGTACTCCTTTCTACGCCTATTTTTGCCTATACCAGAGGTACTAGCGATTTCCCTCTCTTTGAAGAGCCACGCTGTAAGTTAGGTAATCACGGACTCTCATCACGTGAGTGTAGTGCGGAGAAATAAGTGGAGATGGAGCCTTATCGCGGTTGAGGGGATAGCTCTCCATGCGCTACAGCGGGCCGTCCGTCTGGTTTTTGGTAAGTGGGATGCAACCCAGGTCTCCACGAGGAAGAACAGACATAGATGCACGTGGGCTTTTGAAGACTTCGCTGATCTACTTGATCGGCGTCGAACCTTAAGACTCATCCTCGAAAGACTTCATCGTCTGAGAAAGAGCCTTAGGGTCTCTCATTCTCAATTTGGGAGAAGAAAAACAGAAACCCCCCACATACTAAACCTAGAAAGCTGCGGAAGGCATGGATAACAATAACAAAGATAGGATAAGCAAGCAGGGTGGATTGCTGGAGGAGGAGGCGACGATATAGTGGAGCGGCTGAGATACTAGTACGCGCGCTTTGTGCACAGAATGAAGCTGAGGCGATCCAAGTCGAGCATCACAGGGCAAGGGCGATGGAGGTCTGAGGCGCTGCTGAGTGACCGACAGGCCTTACTGTTATGAGCTGTCAGCACCGTAAAGAAGGAGCTGGTCAGAAGTTGGCTGTACCAAGAACTATCTATTGGTTTCTTGACAGCAACACTGGCCCAATGACGATACCTGCAGGTATTGTAGATGCACCAGACTCATGACACGGTCACCAGTTTCAGTGTCATTGGGTGTGCAAGGATATGCGTCGTATCTCGTCCCAACCGTTTTTATTTTTTTTGTCCACCAACATTGTTCCTGGGATGTCGGAAAGAGAGTCGAGTACAGGCCGGTATGCTATTTTTGTTGATTACTTACGAAATGCCAACCTTTTCCACAGAGGGCCATAGGCATGCAGTAAACGTGGATGACCTCGGTCTTGGAGGTCCACGTGCCATAGGACATCCTTGTCGATGGCTTGGGGAATCCTTGTCAGAACCCCCCCTGTTCGGTAAACCCAAGCAGGAAGATAGTACCTAGGTAGTTTACAAGCAGGCAAATCCATTTGTAAAATCCATGGCGAGGGGCCGATAACGACTGGTGTGAGGCGGACGAGACGTGGTTTACAGAAAGAAATGGAAAAAAAAAATTACCTTGGCTGGCAAGTGTGAAATATGGAGTCACTGGCTCGAAGCGGCCAGCGCAAGAGATGCCAAGCCCAGTCACCGGGAGAGGTGAAACAAGATGGTGGCAGCCACTAGCGCTGAGCCGTTACTTCACGGACAGGTCTGAAAAACAAGGGAATCGGTTTCAACCTGTTTTATCTCGACCATCGGAGAGAGAGTGTGCGTGTGAGAGGGAGAAATAGGAAGAGGGGGAGGAGAAGAGAAAAAGACAAAGGAAAAGGGAGTGGATGAAGGATGGGCGCCCCCCAACGTCAGCAGTGGGTGGGCGTCCAATCGGGGTAGACTTTCTGCCTGCCTGCGTCAAGGAGGGTTCGGTATGGTCGGTATTTCAACGTCTTTCTAGAAGGAACACCCCTGTTGTTCTCCAAGTGTGTGGGGGGTGGGGAGCGGTATTCATAAATACCTACCTACACTAATAAGAGGAAGGAACCACGACCACATAAAACGTGGCTCGGCGTCTTGGTAAACGGCCAGTACCTAGTGCGTGGATCTGCTTGGGATGCACCTCCCTTTTGCCGAGTCTGTCTCTCATGTACCCAACCAGGTGCCAGTGAGCAAATAAGCGTGTACACACACGTTCTTGACATGTGCGATGAGGGCCCTTGACCAACATGGCACCCAGAACCTGCATGTCGACCATGTTGACATTGTCACTGTCGATTCCTGCCCGTAGATACCCGCTCTTTGGCTGTTCGCCGTGGCTGTGTCAACGAAGAGGTCGACATCTTGTCTGCTATGTAGGCATGTCTGACAGAGACAAATCTTCATGTCTGACAGAGACAACTGACGTGGACAATTCCTGATCTCCGGCAATAGACAAAGTCTATCCGAATACTGCGTCGATCGATGTTTCTAGCACGTCGGCTTGAGACACTCTGTTCGGCATTTGGCCTGACCACGACCCCCAAACGCCTGCAAACTCTCTTCTGCATGGGCCGAGTCACCTTTTCAGCCCTGTCTTGTGCGCTTTTGTCGGCCCCGGGACCATTATGTATTGTACTCGGCAACAGTGTCTGCCCCTTTGCCGCTACCGACTCCTAATTTAAACTTGTTCCGCTTTCCAAGGATGAGATTAGCAGTCAACTGCACACGGACTCCGCGGCCCGGAACCCCCGCGCATTCATATCCAACATGTCTCGCGGACACTCCCCTCTCCTTCCCACCCTCCTCTAACTAGGTGCCACGGTGCTTGGCACCCCCGCCTTGCAACTTGCCTGCCTCGGGGAGCCCCTGTCAAACCCATGCTCAGCTCCTCGCCCCAATGCGTGGGACCGACGGAGAGCACGAGGCTCCAATACTTGCCATGCGCCTCTGCGACCTGGGACCCTTTTCCTTTAACCCCCCCCTCCCCCGCCACCTTTACATCCGCCCAGAGTCGAGCCGTCCAAGATACCAACCGTAATACCGAACGACCTGCCATCTCCGCTGCACAACGTCGACGTCTTGTCTTGCAACCCCCGAAATAGCGGCCTTCGATACCGACCACACTGTCGAATTGTTCGCGAATTGCGTGTGAAGAAGAGGGTGCCTGACCCGAGGAAACCGGGATCAATCGATTACACACGGACTGTTGAAACTCCATCATGGCACCCGAGGGCGGGCGAACGACTGTGACGTAGAACAGGCAAATTTGCCATCGCGAACACACTTCCTCACCGCTCCACTTCTCGAAAACGCCATTGTTCCGAGATGGACAGCGCGCTGCCATCACCAATGGCCCTCCCGCCCGCCACCGATCGGATTTACCGGCGGACTAATGGGGGCAACAAGGCCTTCCACAACTTTGCAAACGACTATTCTCATATATCAGATCCCAACTTGCGAAGAAGGCTGGCACTGAGCGAGATCGACAAGGTTCCTTTTGGCTTATACCGTTTGTCAACACCATACTTGAACGCCATTGTAACTGTTCACTGACACGTACCTCATAGATGTAAGAGCCATTCTGGTTGGCGGGGTTGGTTTCTTCCTCGATTCTTACGACATTTTCGCCATTAACCTCGTCACCACCTTGCTCGGCGTGGTATTCTGGCAAGGACCTCCCGGTCAGCACGTACACGGTTACGGCGGCAACAATGGCGAACTGCCAAGCTCCGTTAACTCGGCCCTGAAAGCATCGACCAGCGCCGGTATCATCATCGGCCAGATTGTCTTCGGCTGGTTGGCCGATGTATTTGGTAGACGGAGGATGTACGGCGTGGAGCTCACAATCATCATTTTGGCCACCATGAGCGCTGCGCTCGTGTCACCAAGCCAATCGATCAGCTTCACCGGACTCATGATATTCTGGAGGGTCATCATGGTAGGCAGAGCTTGTTCATACGCAAAAGATATGCACGCTGACAATGCTTCAGGGCGTTGGTATCGGTGGTGATTACCCACTCAGTTCTGTCATTACTTCAGAGTAAGTTGGACCATGAATCAAAAGCCCTATAGCAGCGATTCTTGGGACTGACATGTGCCTCAGGTATGCGCCCACACGCTGGAGAGGAGCCATGATCGCTGCCGTTTTCTCGATGCAAGGTATGGGTCA